GCTATATTATTCCAACATCAAAGTGGGAGTTAGAGTTTCTCTCATGAAAATTCATGAAACATGATAGTATATGGCCATAAATAAGTGTTAAGCGAGATATGCAGAGGAAGAACCCATAAAGAGTGCGTGTAAGGTAACGTCAGTCAATCATATGAATTAATGGTTTTAAAACATTGTTAACTAACATTCTGATTAAACTGTGTTGTCCTCACTAAGATTAAGTTTTAAATTGAAAGATACTTAACTGTATTAATACTCTTTATATCTCATTTTTTTGGAATTAGACTTGTCATTATTAGAACAAGTGAGAGATTGTTGGAAATTAATGGACAATTAATTCCCATGAGTGTGCTCAAATATGAAAAAGTTAAAGAGGATAAAAGTGTCCCCATAGAAAAAAGTGGAAATTGCCTTCAAGTCTGTCTGAGGGAAAATTTGGTCAGTTTTTGCATTAAACATCCACTAAGTATTCTTACGTTCCAACTCTGAGACATATTGAGAGTACTTGAAATATTTATAGAGAAAGTGATTCCGTTCACGATTCAGCCTCAATTCCATTACATTTGAATTAATTTTTCTAACAAGAATGCCACTCGTCCCACCACCACCATCATACCACTACTTTTTAAAAAGAAAAATTTGAATGATAGAGGTTTTGGTTGAAAAAAAGGCAGAGAATGAAAAGTTAGTGAGAAAAAAAACTTTTGAGGTTTGTGAATAAAAGAAAAAAAAATATAGAATGAAACTTCATTGAAATTTTTCATAAATAAAAATAAAAATTGAAAATAAAAAAGTAAAGAAAAAAAGAAGAAAAAAAGAAATAGATTGAATCTCGTGATTATTACTCAATTGCTTTGTTTTAATTCTAAATATATTAATTTATTATTAGTTGATTTAATAATAATTGACGTTAGATTTAATAAAAAAATTATTGTTTAATTCGATTCTCATACCTACAAGTGAGAGGAGGACTATAAAGGGGTTGAATAAACTTTTATTCAAAAATTAATTTCAAAATATTTTCTTAAATAAAGGAGTTGAATAGACTTGTTTTCAAAAATTAATTTCAAAATATTTTCTTAAAAATCATAATTTTAAAAATCATACCCACACTTACACATAAATCGTTATAAGCTATTAAAAAATTAACCACCTGCAGCAAAGCAATAAAACCTAAAATCATAAAAAAAAAAAATTTAATTGTAATTTTGATCTTTATAGTTTTTTATTTTATTTTTGTCTCTATTTTATAATTCAATTTTTTAGTTTCTCCAAGTAATTTTTTTCCTGAATTTTAGTCCCTCACACAATCTAAGTCTCATTTTTTAATGAGACGATACTTTATTTGAAGATGTGTCAAAGCTTAAATGAAAAATAAAATATGCCATTATTTATTAATTTTTATGATACTATTAGTAATATTAATTTAATATTATTAAACCATAAAAACAAAACCTTAAACTTATTAAGTGAAATTCTTAAATCAATTTGAAACATAAACCTGGAAAAGCACGAAACATCATCTCTTTATAGATTCACTAAATTCAAATTCAATATGGTCATAGAACATTAAGAACATGATTCACTAAATTCAAATTCAATATGGTCATAGAACATTAAGAACATGATGATGAGATCTAAATGTTGGTTTGTTTCTTTGGTGAAAAAGATGTTTCTACCTAGAATGCGAAAATCCAAAACTTAAAGAGCAGAAAAACATGAAACACTAATTTTGGGATATATCAAACCAAAAGGAACAAGAGTAGAATAAATCAACTTCAATTTAGGATAGAATAAATAAGAATAACCACACAATAAATTAGGAAACAAATCAAATTTGTTGCTTCAGTTTCAGTTTGTTACAAATTTTAGAAAACAAATCATAGGCTTCGATGATATCTAATTAATAGAAAACAAAAATTAAATTAATTTTAACGGAACATTCATGAGAATTTAATTTAATTTAATTTAGTTTTATTTAAAAAAATTAATTTTACATTTTATATATTATTTAAATAAAAATTAATTTTAAATGATGTGAATATTGTCTTTTATCACTTAAGTCACCTCAGGACATCAATTCAACTGTCATGTTATATAAAACGACATTCAAATGGGGTGCGGGATTAAAATCCAGAAAAAACCAAATGGAGGGACTAAAAAACCAAATTTTAAAATAGATTGATCAAAACTCAAGAAATTAAAATTGAAGGATTAGAGTTATAATTAAGCCTAAAAATTTATACTAAAATTTTAAAAGAGATAAGAAAAGAGAAATTATGCACTAGATTTATATTGATTTAGTGCATTTGTCCTCATTAGCACTTAGCTCGCTTTCCAATGGTGAACCATTGAAACTTTGTTGGCCCTTCCACTATTTTTTTAGTCAAGGAAAATATATATTAATTCAAAAAGTCAATGAGTTATAAGGTGATCTCAAAAGATCCAACCAATCAAACAAACAAATAAACTAAGTTTTGCTAAGTGGCCTCTAATCTTATTGTTTGATCACCCCCTATACACCATGTTATCAATAATTGTTCTTTCTATGTTTATAGTATCCACAACTATATCAAGACAGGCTAAATTTATGTACAATCAAAGGTTATAAATTGTCTCAGCTATAAATATTTTCATCAAGGAAGCTTTCCAACCCTTACCTTTGGCCCTCTCTATGATCCACTTTAACTCTTCATTCCAGCTTTTAGGGTGATGCTTCACATTCATCCATTCAAGAACATTGCACCAAATGTCTTTAGTTTTCTTGCAGCAGAAAAATAAATGATCAATAGTCTCTTCTTCCTCCTTGCACATACTACACGTGCTATCCTATAAAATATCAAATTTCTTAAGTCTATCTTTAGTTGCTAGTTTTTTGTTACACGCTAGCCAGAGGCATATGCAAGCTCTAGGTCTTGCCTTGTTACTGTAAAACAACTTTCTCCAAGGGACTATGCAATGCTCATCAATCAAGGCTGAGTAGAAAAGCTTCATGGAGAATTTCTGGCTGTGGATAGCTTTGTCCCAAAGCAGCTGGACCTTATCAATGATCCTCCTTTGATGGAGGATACTCTTCAAAATCCAGGTACAATTGGTTTTATCTTCAGCTTGCAGAGAATTCCATCCCTTCAAATAGCAAGTATGGACCCATTTAACCCACATGTTATATGCTTTCCTGCAGATATTTCATAAGCACTTTAACAGATTTACAGTATTCCAGACAGACAAATTGATGATAGCCAAACCTCCATGCTTCTTTGCCTTGCACACATTGCTCCAAGCCACTGGGCTCTTCCACTATTTTACAAATTAATAAAAGCATTTTTGTTATAAGAGATAATCAAATAAAAATAAACACTTCAAGACAAAATGCAAAGCAAACACATGTTTGGATCTAGATTTTCCTTTTGCCATAAGTAGAACACTAAAAACTACCAAATCTTCAAGATCTTCACTCGATCTTGAGTTAATCACCTTTCTAGAACCAAAATTTCCCCCAAAATTCTGTTTACAACACTCTTCGCTCAACCTTTTCAGAATTCTCTTGTTCGAGTCTTTGTTCTACTAAAAGATATTAAAAACTTCAAAATTTCATCCGTAATAGTCTTCACCTGATCCTATCAAAATTTTCTTGGAGAAGAATTTTTTTCTTTGATAAAAGTCAATCTCTTGATACCATAATCACAAACTGATTATTCAATATATTAAAAACAAAAAGCTTTACAAAAAAACATTAGATTCCCTTATACCTTGTAACTACCACTCATATTCAATCTTAAAGCTCAGTACCACAATAATGGGTTATTTTGACTAAAGTCTTAAGATGATTAATTATCAGAAGAGCCCTACACAACTCCTAATCATAACTCGCAAAATAAACACTCTGAAATTTTTCGTTGAACTTGACTTGAGAGAGAAGGTATTTGTAAAAGAAAGAACATGTTTGGTTTTTCTAGGATTGTGAGAAAAAAATTATTTACACTCTTTTGGAGAGAATGACAAAAATGATTTGTACATGTGTTAGAGATAAGATACAAAATAGGTGAAAATTAATAATTCGATTCGAGTCAGATCCTATAATTAGGATATAAATAAGATGAAAGAGTGATTTGAATTAAGATGATAAATTTGGGTTTGACTTGTTTGATTTGGATTATGATTTAAATCATGTGATTCGAGTTAAGCAATGACATGATTTGAATTACACAAACAAAGGTGTTTTCCAAACGATTTTATTTCGTCATGATATGAATTAACCATGATTGTGATTCACATCAAGGTGTCTTTGATTTGAATCTGACAAAATCTTCATTCGAACACTAGTGCAGAAAAGACTTTTTACATCGGACGAAAAGCACATTTTACATCGGGTATGGGTCTGTTGTAAAGTCAAGCGATGTAGTAAATCAAAGACATTTTACATCGGGCATCAACCCGATGTGAAAAATACACTTACCGCATTGGTTGCCTGTTACGTCTGATGTGAAATAGGGGGTTAATTCTATTTTTTATAAATAAATGAAATATTTAACATCGGTTGCCTTAATGGCCCGATATAAAATATATGTTTTAACATCAGTTGCCTTGATGGCCCAATGTAAAATATATGTATTAAAATATATTTTTTCATATTTAACATACAAAAATATCTAACCATTTATAAGTCATTTCCCACACTTGAATTACCAACATGAAATCTACAAGAAGGTGAGTTGTAGCTTCAGTAGACAACACCAAAATCAACTCATTTCTTATCCATCGCATCAAAAATCCCAAATCGCTGCAAAACATAGTTGATCCATAAAAAAGAGGCGGAAGAACTCTGAAACTCGCGATAGCTACAATCAGAAAAAGCATATCAATATAGATATTAAATCATCCAAGAAAAAGATGGATATGAACTATAAAATTAATATGGGAAATAATTAGAACAAGGCAACTCAAACCAAACTACAGTGCACCAAACCAGGTTGTCTGAAACTCCTTAACCTCCCTAAGATTTACTCTATTTCTTGTTTCAAATTGGTGTTCCTAAAAATGCCAACTGTAGCAAGACATGCCATCAAAAGAAAAGTATCAAACGCCAAGAAAATTCTTAATCTTGTACTTAAATAAAACACAATTGACAAGAAAATACATGTCATCAAAAGAAAAGTATCGACCGCCAAGAAAATTCTTATTCTTGTACTTAAATAAGACACAACTGAGAAGAAAATATGGGAAACAATAATAAGATGGAAAATCAACCCCAACAATAGTGTCAAACCAAGAAAATAGGGGAAACAATAATAAGATGGAAAATCAACTCCAACAGTAGCAAGACATGCCATCAAAAGAAAAATATCACAAATCAGAGAACTAAACCACAATATGTAATAGAACAACCAAACTTATACCAAGTTAAACACAAAGTATGTGAATGTCTTCCTGTCACACATACCATAGCAAATCACAAGGAACCGACAAAAGTAGGAGTTGAGTATGAAAAAGACCAAATTAAGGCCTAACAACAGCATGGACTATGAAGTATACGACTCAACCTGCAAAAGATGATAATTCTGTGGAACAAATTTCCATCCAATTTGCAAGATTGGATACCCACACAAAATGACAATTTTATCTTCATCTTAATATAGAGGAGTACTTTAACCACTGAAAGGAAGAGGATATCTTTTTAGAAGTATAATCATCATCAACAATCACAAATAACAAATCACAAGTAATAGAAAATAATAATTACAAAGAAAACCCCTTTCCTAATTTCTCCAAAATTCTTTGAAACAAAATATTATAAGTCAAAATCCTAAATGCAAGAAATAGTAGTATTTATTTATGAGATCAAAAACCCCAAGGTTGACTTTGCAAGTATAAAGGATTAAAACACACTACATAACAGAAAGTAGTACCATTTCAATTAGCAATTCAAGTAAGGTGACAAATACAAAAAAATACCATTATTTGATATCAATCTGCAACGTTAAGATAGAAATTCACACCAAAAACTCCATCCTGTGAAAAAGATTATTAGTTCCACAACCACATTCAAAATATTCAATATGTACGTCTTACAATCAAAGCCCAAAATGAAAATAATAAAAAAATCATGTACAGATCAATCTTTAGGCCACACTATCAGAGAAGGTATCTTTTTAGAAACATCATAATCACGGTAAATCACAAACAAAAAATAATTTAGAAGATTATAGAAAACCTCTCTCTAAATGGGAGTCTCGTGCACTCGATTATCCCTATAGAAAACCTCTCTCTCTCCAACAAAGATACATTATCATAACACACGGAACATATGTATTTCATAAAGAAAACACGATAAACAAACCTTGTTATCAAGCCATCGCGAAGCAAACAACCAGCAAAAGTTGAGAATCAAGAAATCAAAATCATATTGTTATAACGTTGACACGCCACACTGCAAAAAAACATGTTCACAATTTCTCTATTACGAATCCCAAAGCACCGCAAAACAGATAAATGAAGATCTTGATTATCCAATGAAGAACTATATCAAAAAAATCTTGATAATCCAGTGTATACCCTGAAGCTCCTTTGCCCTTTGTTTAACACTTTCTCTAGCAAGCAGTTAGATGAATTTCAACTATACAAATTTCTGCAATATATAAATACAAAAAAAAACTTTGAATTAAATGATATATAAATACAAAAAGAATTCACATGCCACCCATGAATCGAGAATGGTACGAACTACACAAACACCCATTCCATCAATAAACACAAATACATAAAAACAGAACCAGAAAATCGGAAACAGTATGAAGCCGTACCCAAAATTATCAACACCTCAACACTAGTATTTAGCACTATCGATGGCGGAGGAAGAAGAGAAGGATGAGCGAGCGACAATTGCTTGACGGAACCCCAATCCTGCTTGCAAACTCCGTTAACAGCGAAATTGACACGCCGCCAGGTTGAAGATTTTCTTCCCGAGGTAAACCTCCGACATAGCCTTATCCTGCTATTCAACCAATGAAATCTCCAGCGAGTCAAACAGCATCGATTAGTAGTGAAGTGACTCAATAAACCGTTCGAGAAAAGCCAGTTCATTGTGATTTGCTTCTTGTTCCACGACGGTGACAATCTCCGGCCGAATCTGACTGATAAGAGAAAACACCTTCTCAAGCGCACCAGGGCGCGCATTGAGTTTATGAAGCTCAGAAACAGAGGTAACAACGGCAGATTCGGTCTCCGGTGACCGGAGTTCAAGCATGGAAGCATCAAGATCAGCCAAACTGTCGGAGATGATCGAAGTTATCCGACGCCTGAGGACTGATCCCGGTGAGACGAAAAGCAGACGCGAGGCAAGTGCTTGCATAAGCGTCGACCATTGCATCCCTTGATTGATCGAGACATCAACAACATGAACAGTTACATGAGGCGCCGAAAATGGGTTTGGAAACGAAGGGAGTACATGAAACAAAAAAAATGGGGTTGTAAGAAAGAATAGAGCTTTTGTGAAAATTGATGGGATTTCACATCAGTTGTGGAAATGGCCCGATGTATAGGTCCACGTGACTGCGAGAGTTACATCGGTTAAGGAAATGGATCGATGTAACGGTCTCTTGTAACAAAATTTTATTTTATTTACAATACTCTCACCGTGATATTTTTTTCATCAATATACTATTTTCATCGGTGTAAATCTAGGTTCGATGTGAAATCTTTTATAACAAAATTTCATATCATTGAAAATAAATTTCTAATGTAAAATTCTTTAACAAATATTTTTTACATCATATATTTTAAATTTGATATAAAATCTTTTAACCAAATATCATATTTTTAATAGTGAAATCACACTTATAATGGAATATCAATTTTCACTTTTACTCTTAATTTAAATTAGTCAAAATTGTGATTCAAATCATATTTAAAAATTAAATTTGTTTTAAGACTTCCAAATCCAACTTATAATTCAAGTCATACTTAGTCGAGTTTTGACCATTTTAGTCAAATTAATAAACATTACAATAGTTTCAATCTAAGTGACTGTAAGGCATAATTAAATGTATAATACTACAACCCACAATAAAATTTAAAGTATGATAAATTAATCAATTCAAATTTACAACAGACAATAATCCAAAAATATCAAAAATACAACAAAACATCAAAGTTGACATGATGAAATTAAATTGTAACTGGTAAAGAAATTTCAAAAAAGTTATCTAAGTTGATAGTTCTGAGGATTTCCATTCACATGTATTTTTATATGAGATGTAATGGAGAAATCAGTTGATAGTTGATAGTTGATAGTCAATAGAAGAATATATTCTTTGTTAAAATTTGTGTTTATCGAAATGCTTTGAAATATCAAGACAAATTGAGAGGTGAACGTCCTATTGGTGAGAGTTGTGAATTTTAAAGAAAGTTAAGTTTATATTTCATCCATTTCAAAATGATTGTTATTTTAATAAATAAATTTTATTTTAAAATGATTGTTATTTTCACTTTTCAATATAGTAATGATTGTCATTTTTTTCAGTTGTATCATTTACTTTTTATTCTAGACACTATTTTCAATATATTAATAAGGTTAATTTTGTAAAAGTATAATATCTTATGACAATATTATTGCATTATATAATCTGTATGCAAAATTTTTAAATAATAATCATTTTAAAACAAAGAGAATGACTCCTAACTTGAAATTAGTTATCCCTTCTTTTTGTAATTTAACAAATTGTTACAATTAATGGAATGTTGTCTTGAATTCTTTGTTCACGATGACTCTGCTTATCCATAAATTTTTCTATATAAAACAATTACACTTTATGGATATATTTATAAATAATAATTTTTTTAAAATTTATTGAATAAATGATATATTTAATTATTATTTTATATTAGATACATTAATTATTCAATTAATCTAAAAAATTTATTATTGTTTATAAATGTGTCTGGAGAAATTATTTAAGTGATTCAAACATGAGAGAATGATCAAGCATGAGAGAGTTTGATAATTTAAAATTATCATATTTTTATAGCTTTGATTTGTACGTTATTTTAATATTTTTAGTTTGTTTTTAGATCCATTTTACTACCTTTTGCTTGATTTATGTTTGTTTAGAGAAACATGTGAACATAAAATGCTTTCAAGGTAAAATAACATGAATTTTTTTATCAATATATACCTATTTTACCAACTAAATCCCAATATACCACACATTTCAACCAATATTTCCACTATACCACCTTTCCAAAAAAAAAAATTGAAATTAGGAGGCTCCGCCCAATGGATGGGCGGATGGTCTTAAACTTATACAGCTTCCGCCCATTGCATTGGCGGAGCTGTTTAAATAACGTTTTTTTTAATATAATTTTAAAAATAAATTAAAATTACTATTAAATAAAAAATCAATATTTAAATTAATATTTAAAAATAAGTTTAAATTAAAATAAATGTTAATCATAGTAATAAATAAAAACGGTTCTGCCACTATAATGAGCGGAGAGTTTTATTATTTAAGTACGGTTCCGCCAGTGTAATGGGCGGAGGGTCTTGTTATTTTTTTGTTGCAGTACGGCTCCGCCCCTGCAATGGACGGAGGGTTTTATTGATTTTATTATTTTATTATTTAAGTACGGTTCCGCCAATGCAATGGGCGGAAGCTTTCGTTATTTTATTATTTCTGTACTGCTCTGCCACTGTAATGGGCGGAGGGTTTTATTATTTTATTAATTTAAAATTTTTGTTGTGAACTATAAATATCGTTGATGTTGAATGATCCTAGCTACACTTAAATTATTTTTCTTTAGTTGTATTTTAAAAATGTCTTCAACATCCGGAGAGTTTCCAACGTTTCCATATATGAAAAGAGACGCAGAACTGATTTTTTCTCCAGTAAAGCCTCCGATGAAGATCAAATTGTAGAACACGCAGACATTTGAGCATCTGCATAGGCACTTGGAGAGATGGTTAGGGGAAGAAATTGCCCAAGGTGAAAAGATCCAGAAAATTAAGAGGCTAGTTACGGTGCCTGGCTTAAATGGACCCACTCGTTCTTGGAGACTTATTCACAACGACGCATGTGTTCTTATGATGATGCTTCAACAAAAAGATATTGTGTTGCTGGTTGTAATATCCTAGAAATGCTTATGTCTTTGTTTGAACATGTTGATGTTGTTTAGGTTTAATGTTGTTGCTAAGTTCTACTATTCGTCTTAGTATTTTAATTTATGTGTTGTTTTTTCGAATTGTTATTTATATTAAATGCAGAAGTATTAGTGAAATGAAACATAATTTTTTGGCGTCATTATACATACAACTTTGCAGATTGATAATAAAATGAATAATTAATTATTACTAGTTCCTACATTGGGGCATCGCGTTCGGTTGTGACCTAGAAGACGACACAATGTGCATTTTCTCTCCAACTTATCATATGCATCCATTTCTGTTGTAATACGGGTGCTCACGGGACGACCTTTCTTGTTCCTCCGCATAACTGGATTATGGAAAATTTGATCTCCCTCATAAGTGGGACAATACTCATCGTATGGTAGAACTGGAAAGCTCGTGCTGTAAACCCCAAATAAGTTCGCCACGTTGTAAATGTCAGACAATAGAAGAAATGCGTCTTGGCGCACCACAGAACATGCAGTGATACCATGTGAACAAGGAACACGGTATGCTTGAAACTTTCCGCAGTCACATCATCCTTCCATTAGGTTGACCTTGTAACGCCCCAATGGCTTCCCCTCACCGTGGTTAATTGTCTCCTTCACACTGAAAGTGTTATTATTATAGTAAAAAATGCTTACCTGATGCGTGGCGGATTTTGACGTCTCTTCTTTCATCACCTTCACGCACCGCTCTGTAAATGTTTGTCCAGAATTCAAAACTGCACTCCACTTTACACCCCTTTCAGCAAAGAGTGTCCCCATCCTATAGTATGTTGCACTTACTAACGCTGTGATGGGGAGATTACGAGTGCCTTTAAATACGAAATTTAGTGACTCGACAAGGTTAGTTGTCATGTGCCCCAAACGACGACCCTCGTCAAATGCCCTCGTCCATTTTTCAACTGGAATTTTGTCTATCCACCTCAAAGCATCACCATTAGCCATCCCAATTTGATTACGATAATATTTAAACGTTGGTTGGTTCAGCGCATACCCTACATGTTACAAAAAATATTGGTTAATATAATGGTATACGATCAACGAGCATGTAATGTTTGCATAAAAGGTACTTACCCATGTTTGATTATTTTTTTCCGGAGGATACGGTCCTTGATATCCTTCATAAAATTTTGCGCAATATGCCTGATACAATACACATAGACAGATGTAGTGTTATTCCAACCATTTTCAGGATTGTTATAAGCGCTTTCGATAGATGCATGTCGATCAGAAATCAAACACAAGCCAGGTTGAGGAGCTACATGCATTCTCAAGTTTTTTAGAAAGAAACCCCAACCATCCGCCGTCTCACCTTCCACTAGGGCAAAGGCAACTGGGAAAATGTTGTTGTTTCCGTCTTGTGCTACAACCATTAGTAATGTACCTTTGTACCTTCCATATAACCAGGTACCATCAATCTGTAGTAAAGGCTTGCAATATGCAAAGCCACATATGCATGGTTGGAAAGCCCAAAATAGTCGGTGGAAGATTTGTTTCCCAGCAATAACAGTCTCGTCATCTGTATATATCGGTAGTGTTTGCATTTCTACTACAGTGCCTGGAACAAACTTCTTAAGGGCCAACAAGTAATTTGGAAGTTCATTGTATGACTTCTCCCAATTACCAAACACTTGTTCGATTGCTTTGTTTCTAGCAATCCATGCTTTCTTGTAAGATGGAGTGTATTTGAAAAAAGAAACAATTTCGTTAATACATACACTCACCTTGATAGAGGGATCCTTTTTAACAAGAGGCATTAACCGTTCACTCATCAGTCGAGAGCTTAGTTGTCGATGATCCTGATTAAAGATGGTCGTTGAACAATTATGTGGGGGCTCCATGATTCCTATCTCCCATAGGTCGCTCCTTTTCCTATAGGATGCCACTAGACGAAAGTTGCAACCACTACACTTATAACAAATTTTATATCTCTTTGTGTCAGAACATGTAACCCTGAAATCAACGACATGTTTCATATGATACATGGATATCGCAAAGACACAGTCAGATTTGTTTTTGAACTGGTTCCCAACAGCTATGTCATCCTCCAGCGGAAGACGAGGATTTTGGGGCCATTCAAATGATGATTCGTCTCCAGTTGTTCCCAGAGTGGTCATATGGGTGGGTGGACAATAGACATTCTCAAGTGGAATGTGTTGTCCAGTTTCGTTGATTGCATCCGCCTCGTCACGGCCACCGTCTTCGAATAAGGTAGTGAAAAAATCATCATCTTGTGACTCAGTCTCTTCTTCTTCGTCATCTTCGATAACGGCTTCCTTGGGAATTATGGACACGGGCTCAGCCTCATTGGTATTGGCCACTTGTGAGATTTGAGATTGTTGAGAAAGTTGAAATTTTATGTATAAATCTATCGCATGTAACCCAGATAATTCATGATTGTAAAACATCGTTTCCACATCATCATCATCTCGGATTTTCAATGGAACATATTTCACCTGGTTCACACTGAAATTAACAGCATTTCGATATATAATTTGTGAGACAGCTCCAGATCGCATCCTTGTTTGTATCCTCTCCCTCAAATATTCAAACTTCGCATTTCTACTTAATTTGAACCGGCATATATCGGTATTTTTGAATATAATGCCCATATCATCAAAGATAAGGATCTCTCCATTGTAATGAGCATCCACTGTATATTGAGGTGTTTGAGACATGGTGATTTGTTAGTGAACAAGAGCTGAATTGTAGGAAAAATTTGTTTTTGAAATGGGTTGGGTTGATGAAAAATTGTAGGAAGAAGAACTGAATTTAAATGAAATATATTTTGTCTTTAGTAAATATGTTATAATAAATAAACGTAGGAATATTTACTGTTTAATGGTCAAACTGACAAAATCAACCCATCCGCCCATTGTAGATGCGGTGGCATTAATGTGTGTAAAGGCTCCGCTCAATGGGAAGGCGGAAGCATTGATGTTGGTATGGGCTCCGCCCATTGCTCCTGCGACATTGACAGGTCAAATTACACGCTTCCGCCCATTAATTACGCGGATGGCAGACCAAAAAGTAACGTATCCGCCCAATGTATCAGCGGCGTGTCAGAAAATGCCAATGGTTCCGCCCATTGCGGATGCGGATTCTGTAAATCTGTGCATGCAACACAGTTTACGTACACAGCATGCATGGCAAAGTTATTACTCCCAACCATTTACTTGTTTCCATTAAATATTTTGCATAAAACCCTTCATTTTTTCTCTATAAATACTATTCGTTTTTTCAAAATTTACATCATACTCAATCTTTATTTGTTCTTTCTCATCATAATTCTACACCAAACTCAATTTTCTATAATGTCTCTGTTAACTTATGGAGAGGAGCATTGAGGATCATTGTCAAACATACTCCAATATGCAAGTATTGAATATATTTACTTATAAAGTTTTTTAAATTTTTAGAATATATTAACTGTTGTACCCCAAAATTTGCCCTCGTATTCTTCCACAAGAAATCACAGCTTCAGGCTTTTCCTGATTTTTCAGACTGACTCAAGAATCGGTCAAACAAACTTTTCTCATCAGCCAGACAAAATTAGGATTTTCATGGCTCTGGAACATTTCAAATAGTTTGCTTAGAGTTTAGTTGATTTTGGCTCAACTTTGATCAGGCGAACGTTTCTTTGGCATTTGATCAGGAACTAGGGTTTTTGTGCGCGCATTCTCAGAAAGAATTAATCCCACAGTGCTTTTTAAGTTATTCCGAGATATGGACTGAGGCATTTGGATTGAGTCTAAATCAGTGAAAAGAGTCATTTGGATTGAGTTTGCAGTGTTTTGATTGAGTCATTAAGAGAAAAGACATTTGGGCAGCTGTTGTGATTGACTATGCATTGCTTTGGATTTTTGAAGCGCCAGGTTTATTAATTGATCAATGTTGAAACCACAATGTTTATTTAATTGTTTATTTATTCTAAGTTAAGATAATTGGAATTTATTTCCATTTATTATAATTTAAGAATTATAAATAATAAAATAAATAATTGAAAAGAAGAAAAGGAATTAACTGATAAAAAATAGATTTTATTCATCTTTAATTTATTTGTTACAATTATTATTTAAATACAATATTCCTTTACGAAGTATTTACAATGATAATTTTACAGTAATTTAAATTTAAATAAAACTATCCTAAATTCCTAAGTCTTCAATTCTTCATCCTCCATTTGTTGCTATTCCTCTCCATTTGATTTTTTTTATCTGTAAAGAAAGGAAGAAAAAGTCAGAAGCAGATAAATTGAAATTAAAAGACAAACAGTTAATTCGGGTTCATCATTAAAGGCAACTGGCTGGAATCAGTTCGCCCTCTCTGCAAATCACGGGATTTCTCCCGGTTCACAAAGAAGGATGAAAAATGCTTGCAACAAAAGTTTTGAAATGCACAAAAGATTTAATTGCACAAATTCAAAAGGAGTCAAACAAAGCTGCATAGTCCAAAAGTTTCAAACTGAATGGCATAAACAAAGTCCAAATCCAAACTGAACTATAAAGTCACAAATTCAAACTATCCAAAAGCTGCCCAAAAGATATATCTAGATATCAAAGTATCAAAAAACTGTCACAAAGAAGCAGAAAATATGGAAGCAGTACACGAAGTATGCAGGTTAAAACCAATATTGCAAGCAAGGTTTCGTTCTCATCATTTTTCCAGCAGTGCCTTTTCAGAACATAAGGACAAATAAGCAATATAATATGCTTAAAACTGTACTAGAGAGAGAGGGAAGAGAAAAAGAGAGTACAGGCTTACTGGCTTGAGGCATAAAGAAATATATACAACAAACTCATCAAGTGAGTAAAAGAGGAGAAGATATCAAAAAAACATAAAACAAAAGGGTAACTTTGAAAAACACAGTGAAGCTCTCAAAAACCTGTTTCTCATAAAAACACCCTGCATAAAAACCTTACAACCTGTTGAAGCCCAAGTATCCAACACCAACCTGCTGAAGCCTCAAAGAGGAACCAAGCTGATAACCTGCTGAAGCAAACAGCAGGTCAAGCCAAAGCCTAAACTGATATCACAACAACACAAACCTTTCAACCAATGTCCAAACCTGCATTAAACTTGCCTATCCACACTTAAACCCTCAACCTGTTTGAAGCATATAACACAAAAGCCTTGGTTCTAAACCTGCAATGGCCTAAAAACACAAACCAGTTCCCAAAGCCTTACCTGCATTAAAAAGCAAGAAACCCCAAAGCCTTTCAAGACTTACCATTCAGAACACTCCAACCTGTAAACTCAACCAAGAGCCATAGCCTCAAACAGTTAACAACACAAACTATCCAGGCCTTAAGCCTTTCAAGCTTAACAACCATAACCTGTGCAAAAGACCAAAAGCACATAAACTGTCCAGATTCAAACCCTGTCCATTTCAAAGCCTACATCAAGCCTAAATCAGAGAAAAGCCTAAACTTTTCCAAACCTAAGCTTCAAACTCATAAACCTGTGTCAAATCAATCAAGCCAAGCATACTAACCTTGAAACATTCAGACACATACATAATTCCCAAGAACCCTCAGAAAAACCTCATCATTGGGCTATCAACACCACAACTCTGAATAAGCATACAAGGCAACTGAGGTAAATAGAGAAGAAGAGAGGCAACTGTCTAAACATATCAGATATCAAATATTTCAAGCATATCATCATCAATACAGTATAACAAGCGTTCAAGGGGCAAGCATTCAAAGGCAACACAAAGAGTCCCTCAGAGCATTCTCATCACAGGGCAAGCATTTCAAGGCAACAGATCAAGCACAACATATCAAACACCTCAGAAGCATACAAAATGTTCAGAGGCAACTGAAGAAAGTGAAAGAGAAGAGGATAAAGAAACATCAAAGGCAACAGAGTCGAGTGAAGAGGGAAAGAAAGTTAAAGTTCTCAAGCGTCATCATCAAACCAACAACCTAAAAAGCAAATACAGATACCGTTTCTTCCAGCCAAAGGCCAGCATCACCGTTCCCCTCGCTGTTAAGCCTCCGGAGCGCCTCCACGTCCGCCTCTCCCTCCAATAAAAGGTAGCATTTTTCTTCTTTTCTTTCCTTTCCATAATCACAACAACAAATAATAACAAAGCTAAAATCAGAATCAATAAGCAAAAGCGAAACATGTGAGACATAAAAACGAAAACCCTAACGTGAATGACTCAGAAAATGTTACCTTCGAGTCACATCGCTGAATGACCCATGGAAGAGAGAAGACGGAGATGGCGCTGGTTGGCTTAGGCAAGGAAGGACATGGTTCTGATGGCTATGGCGTTGAGGAAGATGAAGAGGAACGAGCAAAATGAAGAGAATGGCGCGCCTCTGTAACAAACCCTAATCCAATCCCTTTCTGAACGAAACATCCAAACCCTTGCAAAACATTTGTGTCAAATGCCAATGGGCCTTGCCCTTTTCCAGTATCACAAGCCCATTAAGCGCGCCTCACCCCCCATTTTCTTTTTTCTACTTGTTTTCTTTTATTTGGGCCAGCATAACTCCTTTAGGCCCATTCTATTCCTTTTTAATTAACCTTTTTTTTTATTTATCACATGACATTTTTACACAACTCATTTTTGTTAAATAAACCATTTGTTAATATTAAATCTAATTGACAATATTCATCTTTTTTTATGATATAATTAAAACTTTATACATAAAAAGATTAATTAAAATACACCAAAACATTCATTTTTTTAAACTTAAAACATTTTCTAAATCTTAAAACATTTCTTTTCTTAAAATACTTTGTACATAAAAACATTGAAACATATAAAATTACAATTAAACTTACACTTTCTTTAATTAAAATTTTTATACATGAAATGTTAATTTTCTTAAGATAATACTTTTCTTTTTTTCTAAAAAATACTTTCTTTGTACATACTTAACCAAAATACAAAACAAGAACGTATGCTTAATGATACATTAACATTTCTCAACTGTAAATAAATCACATAATCATTTATACATACACAATACACTCACATTGATACATTATCCATTTGCTATTATTATACATTGCTATACATTATATCTTACATTGCGATCGATTTGATTTGGTTGTAATTATTTAAAGTCTCATCCCCATTTGTAAATTTGTACCCCCACTCCCGGATACTATTTTGTAATAGCGTAGACTTTAAATTCCCGTAATTTATCGCTTTCAAATATACCATGGTTAGACCTAGGGTTTGTATGTACATAAAATCGAACGCTAGATAACCTAATACAAGACAAATACATGAAATCAATACACAATCACACTTGCACCCCTAGAGTAATCCCACTCGTTGCCTTCCAAAATGGGCCATGCTTGCACGTCGAGTTTCTTTGGCAAAACAATTCAAATGATCATAAGTCCCTCGATGAAGCTTTCGAAAGTTGCCTATCAAAATGATCATAGTCCCTTCAAGCAAATTGCCAAAGGCACTTGGCACCATTGCATTCATGGTCCATACGATGACCCGCGCCTGTCCCGTTAAACATCCTAAACGCAAGATTGTCCACCAAATACAATGGTGGAACAAAATTTTTAAAAAGGGGTTAAAACATGAGAAAAACCTTTGAGTACATTAGGGGTAGAAAAAACTCTTAGTTACTTGATTGAC